TAATAATATTACTTAATAATGGTAATAATAATAATAATAATAAAAATACTAATAATAATAACGAATGTATGCAAGCTATCTTCAAGGTCGAGTTCATTCGTTTTCAAGGGTGCATCGCGCATCGGGAATGTTGCCTGTCTACAGCGGTGATGATCATCATCTACCGAGTAAGCCTACCGTTCTCTCTCTCTCACTTCCACACACACTCACACACACACACACATATACAGTCCATTGATAGGATGATAAAAAACGAGATGAATCTTCCGCTGAAACGGGGAAATATACACTGCCGCTTTCTGATTTGCTCGCTCTATTGATCCAAAGCAGCGTGCGTCGCGCCGTGGCTGGAGACTTACCGGTTCGGCGACGCGTATCTTACCCAATCTCTCTCTCTTTCCTCTCTCCTTCTCCCCTTCTTTAATCTCCATCTCTCCTTCTCCATCTCCTTTCTCTCTCCCTCTCTCCCTCACACGCACGCGCAACCCCCGTCGCGCACTGTATTGGTGCAGATTGGATCGAGAGTTGATCTTCCGTACAAAGTACGAGATAGCGTAGTGGAAGACTTAGGTACTGATGATCCGGACAATCAATATTGCAATGCAGCCCCGAACATACATCACAATCATCATCCCATGGTGTAAAGGGGTCTGGCGCCTTACACATGAAGACTGCGCCAACCCCGACCATGCCAGACAAAGAAGAGGGAGGTTAGACGAAGAAGAGGGGAAGATGGGAATGTCGTCAACATCAAGTCTTCGGCACAGGCCCAAATAGTCCCTCATCAAAATGTTTGAATCCCTTGTCTAGTCTGGATCCAATGTCATCAAGTCTCAAGTCACCACTCCCTCTCTCTCTTGTCGTAGTCTGCCGATACTGAGAAGTCAGGCGATGAGAGGGTGAGAAGAAGAAGGTGGACTGAGAAGAGGAAGAAGAAGAACTCACTCTCTCTTTCGCTCCCTTGCACTTCTTTCGTTCATACACACACATACAAGTGCACACTCTTACTATGGAGGGCATGAGTAAGAACGGAATGAATCTTCCACTTAAACGTGGAAGTATTCATTCAATTTTATTTATTTATTTATTTATTCTATTGATGGAAGCACCGGGATTGGTCACGACTTACCCGTTCTTCCTCCCGTTTCCCGACGTCGTCAAGTCACCGTTGAAGCCGTTGTCCTCAGCAGTTGTCTTCGTCGTTGTTACCGTTGGAGCCGCCGTCGTCGGAGCTCGGTCAGGTGAGTACTCCCTCTCTACTTCTCCCTCTCTTTTCCTTCTTCCTCTCTTATCTCTCTCCCTTCTCCCTTTCGTGTGTCTGCACACTCACTTCTGTCATATACGCCGTTCGTCTTTACTGAGTTCGTCGTCGCCACCTTGGCTTGCTTATCGGATCAGCTAAGTTTCCTCCTTCGACTTCCTCCTTCTCTCTTCTCTCTCTTTCCTATTCTCCTTCCCTTTTACGAGCGACCACTTTCTCATTCTTCATTTTTTTTTCCCTCTTCCCTCGCAGTCCTCTCCCCCTTACGAGTTGTTTCTCCCGGCTTTCTCGCGCGGTCCACCCTTCGCCTCTCTGCGCTCTCCCCAGCAAGCGGCCGTTCCCGATCTTGCTTCTGCGCGAATTTCGCGGTGGCTTGCTCTTCTCCTTGACGAGGGGCCCTTCGTGCTATAGGCTGATGCCGCACGGTAGGATGATCGGGCCTCTTCCCTTTTTCGGCTGAATCGGTCCGACTTCCGAGTACATATTCACCTACGTGAATCAGGGGAATAAAGCTACGGGAAAAGAGAATAATCAATAAAAGAAAATAAAATAATGAAACGAATCTAACTTCCGAATTAAAATAAAATAAAATTTTTGAACGAATTGAAACGAGAACTACTACCAACTGCCCAGCGTAGGGTCTCGTTTCAACGAGGCAAATAACACAACTAACCTAGATAACGAGGTCGCGGGATCGAGTCCCGACCGTTCAAACCCGGGCAAAACGAAAGGTAGAGTTCCCTGTCAAAAGAGAGCTAGCTCGGAGGGTGGCGGGCCTTGATCCCCGGATCCCCCGCATATCAACCCCATACTGAAAACCTACTGAGCTAGCTCCCACTTCGAGTAGAAGGGGAGTAGCTCTAATATTCATAAAGTAATGTGGCCCAGTCCAACCAATGGCCTGAGCCCACTCTAGCCAGCTCTAGCGTGCACGCTTGCTAATCTGCGTGCCTATCTGAATGCCTGCCGCCTTGGGCGCGTGCACGACCCGCAAGGGCACGTATTTCATCGGTAGGCCCGAAGGGCCGGTACTCAGCCGTGGTTGCGGCATCGAGGGTCGCGGTAGGGTAGATACTCAAGTGGCGGGCAAGCTGGTACCACACCAAGTTGAAGTAGATGTGGCGGATACTCGACCCGGAGGTTGAGTAGGGGAAGGCAAAGACCGAAATTTTTTAGAACACCCAGTACCGGAGGGAAGACAGGCACTGGACCAAGCCCCAGTGCGTGTCATAGACCTACCTGACACAATCATCATCCCAATTGACCCTTCGACCTCTTCTGTCGAGGGGTATTACTACTGATCCTAATCACCACGGGGCGTGTCATAATAACGCGCGTTCATTCTTAACGAAATTTTCTTACCGATTTTTTCCCCCTGGCCTCAGTAGTCGAGGATTTTGCTTCTGGTGTCACACCAAGCGTGCACACCCCTCTTGTTTCCAGACTGGCTACGTCATGGTAGTTGACGCCGTCATCGTGTCGAATGCAAGGACATGGCAAAATACCCTTGTAAGAGTATTTTGTCCGACAGTATCCATGACCTTATTAAGCGACGTCCCCGTCGCTCGGAGAACTATATGCACATAAAGGTGTTTTCCGACAAGCAAATCGTCAAATCCGAATCCCGGAATGAAATGTGGTTTCAGGATTGACGCCGTCACCTTACCTTTCATTACTACTGCCGGGATTTTAACCCGGGCCTCCCACATAATATATAACGACTGGAAGTGGGGATACTTGATCTGTACTACAGTACATGAAATAGTTAAGTATTTCAACGCACCTTTCCTTCCCCCACACCCTTAGTCTTTGGTCCAGGTATTCGTTGGTTGTTTTCAGGGCTGGTGTTTGCGTACGAACTCAACCCGTCAAACGCGGGTCCTAACCGAGACCTTGGGTGTTCAACTCTTGATATCACAATCCAAAGTTGCCTATCGTCCTGCCCGAAGCCTAATACAGGAGGACAACGGTCTCCATCTCGACCCACCACATTCCTGCTGATCGGGCCAGAGCTGCGGCCCACCGCGTTGTTGCTTATCGGTGGTTACCCTCGTTGGTTGAGTAACGATGGGTTAGTCATCCTATGAATTGCAAAACTAATCTCGACCCCTTCGACACCCATCTGAATAGGTTCCTTCAATGGGGTGGTCATCCCCTCTAGCCCCTATTCTAGGCCATAGTCGAAGGGTCCGCTGCCTGGTTATGCTAGGTCAGCAGCCCACGCTGGGAGTTACGTCCCAACGATGCCAATTTTTCACCATAGGCTTGGTAGCTTTATGCCCTCAGGTTAACCCTTGAGGTGGATGAATAATGCTTTAAATAAACCAAATAAATGAGGACTTTTAATAAATTGAGCATTCGTCAGACTGCCACTCAGGGTTGTGCCCTCCAAGTCTTTGATCATAGCTCGGTGAGGCACGCACCTCGGGGTCATTTTGTATACATATTTATACATATATATATATATATATGTCTGAAACCATTATTTTTATATATATATATAACCATTATTTTTAAAATAAACTTTTATTGACTCTTTCCTTGTCAGAATCCACGAAGAAACATCACTTTCATAAAGATTGTCAAAGAATTTCTGATAAGACTCAAAATGAGTCTATCCATGTCGTAGCATGGTCTCAAACAAGAAGTGTACAATCAATCAAGTTTCAAAGTTTCACAACTCATCAAACTTTCACATGAAATACAGGTCCGCCCGTTCCTCTATCACATCTTTAGATCTCAGCAAGAGTCTAGTAGTGATAGACGAAGAGATATCTCAGGTTACAAGAGACTCAACCAAAGACAAAGGCCTACACACAATGTGACAAGTGCGTCATATTCACCAGCTCATCCCCCTGAAAGATATATAAATAAAGTATGTTACAGAGTCAGATCATCAATCACCTCTACTATCCCTCAAATACCTCTTATGTCATTTCCTATAGTACTTCCTATGCTAAGTCCCTTTATCTACATGAAGAAAAACAACACAACATGTCTCAGACTTTTCCACTGTCTAACTGAATGAAGAAAACACATATCCCATGCTCTAAATTAACTCTTTCTCCTATTTCATAACTATTTTACGAGACGATACAGGTCATGATTTACTCAGACATATCTACCTACTCTCATCTAGAAATCAATTTGCAGCCCCAGTATCCTGTGGAGCGCTACCCTGCCTCCCTCAGGTATCGTGGGAATGATCTGTCTCATACTGGCCACCAATCTCCTATGACTATCATATTTGGTTTTTCCTTCCTTGATATAAATTGCCAGAATGGAACACTCATCCCTAAGATGCCCTTCCTGAGTGCAGAAGAAACACCTCTGTCCAGCCATGCTAGGCTTGATTCTCTTTATGTCTGGCTGGATTGAAGTCTCAGCCTGATCCTCAGCTCTCTTTGGTGAGCCCAACTTAGATTCCCTCTACCTTTTGCCCTGTCTTGGCAGAGGCATAGCCACACTCTCACTTACCTCCTATTCTGGTCCAGGAGGCTTTTTCCTCCTTTCTTCAGTCTGTACCCTCTTCTCTTCACCCTTCTTTCTCTCCACTATCTCTGTGGCTTCCTTTTCTTTCCCCTGATGGCTCAGTCTGAGTCCCTCCATTCCTTTCAATATTTCCCCCCATCTTTGCTCCCACTCTTGTCCCAACTTCCTTTCTGAGATTTCATTGTCTAGGTCCAGTCCTAGCACACTGACCTCTGAACCCAGACCATCCATCCTTATTTTCATCCTTCCTATCGTGGCCGCTTCATTCTCCAATTTTATGTCGCTCATAGTCAGGGCGGCCCTCAATTGGTTCACTTCTTTATGTAATTTCTCCTTCCCTTTCTTCAATCCCTTCATTTCCTCCCTCATCTCTTCCATATTTCTTATCAACTTTTCCACCTGGGCATCCCTCTCATCTTCCTTCCTTCTTATCCCACTTGCCTCTTCCCTTTCTCTGTCTCCAATTGGTCCCTCTTCCTCAGTTCACTTGACCTTGGGTGCCTTGCCTCCTTGCTGGATCCTTTTTCCTTCTCCATCTTCCTTTACTCCTCCCTCCTTTTCACTCCTCCTTCCTGTACCTCTTTCCTTCCACTTTCAATTGCCCTTTTCTTTCCAAGTTTTCTTTTCCTTGGTACCACATTTGCCCCCATGCTTCCTTTCCTCCCTTCTGTTGCCTCCTTCTCTTTCTGTTCATCACCCTCAGCCTGGTCAGATCCCTGGCTGCTGCTTTTGGGGGAGACCCTCGTCTTGTCCTTCAATCTCTTCAGAGGCACACTATCCCCTTCTTCATTCTCTGCCCCTTTCTCCTGTGGCTCAACCACCTCTCTTCCAATCCATAGCCCCTTCTTTTGCAGCCTTTCCTTTCTTGTCTGATCCTGTCTGGCCTGGGTGTAGGCCATCCACAATTCTGCTGTTATTCTCTTCCATGTCCGACTCCCTTCCACAATTCTTTTTACTTCCTCCCTTTCACTCTCTTCTGATCTTGCGATCAATTGTTTTTTCTTTTCCTCCTTGTTCCACTCGCCTCTCTCTGCGGCTTGCTGCAAGCTCTCGATAAAGTCATCCAGATTGGTTCCATCAAATTTTAAATCATCCTCCACATCGTCCCTTGGGAAGGTCCCCATGTCCTTCCATAACCTCTCCTTGCATACTTTCCACCCTGTGCACCCTGCCACCACCCCTTCAATTCTCCTCTTGTACATTCCTGCCCCACTCACATTCGCAATTTTCTCTCTGTTACCCCATTCTTTCTTGAATGAGTACTCTTCAAGGTCTCGCAGGAATATTCGCAGGTTGTCTCCAGCCCTGTAAATGGGCAACTCCTCCAGGCTCCTTGAGACTCTCTGATCCCTCCTTTGGCCTCTTTTTCTCAAGGCAGGTCCAGAGGGCCCTGCCACTGCTCCTCTCTGCGCCATGACTTCTTCTTCCCAAGGGTCACGCCTGCACACAGAGAAGGAGCAAATGACAGGTACGAGGGTCAGATTATCACCAAGGCAGCATTCCTTGTTAAACACAAGTTGGCAATGCCCTCCTTTATCAGGTACTTACATACACGAACATATACACATATATATGACAGACCTTTCTTTGTTTCATGGATGTTTTGCTGGCTTGTGATGGGGTGTGAACCGACAGTCTGTAGAGTTTTCCATCTGGTGTGGGTGAG